GAATGCAAAAATTATAATTACTAATTTATTTCAATATTATGGAAAAGTGGGACATCAAAATATTACCAATTTGATTCAAAAAATTTCTAACAAATCATGGACATTTTTTTACCATAAGATGTTTTTTACTGTCTTGATCGGTTTTTCATTTCTTCATATTTTTTTGCAAAATTACTGTTTATCTATCATTGGTATTTTTATATCTATATGCAAGCTTTGCAGAGAAAATCTCAATCATAACGAGGAGGAATAAATTTTTTAATAGAAAGATTTGAACATTTTCCTTTTATAAACACCCAATTTAAAACTAATTCTTCAATATGAAAAGCTTTTACTAAAAATAAAATGTCGTTAAATCGCTTATACCATTAAATTGCATCTCGAAATTGAAAAGGACATTATATTACTTATTAAAATTTTCTTTAAATGGAAAAAAATCCCGAGTTTTGTTGTCTTTACGTGTTTGTATTGGTTTAATGATCTATTGGAAAAACAGATTTTGATTTGTTAATTAAGGAGTAAAATAAACAATGATAAACAATGACCACAATTTCACAACGCAAAGGCGAAACAATTCCTTTGTACTTTCAATAAAAAATCACTCACCCTGTATAATGAAAGCTTTACATAATAAATGTAAATAAATATTTTCCTCAGTTATGAAATTTGAAATTGGAAGGTAAAGAAATACGTTTTAGGATTCCCCCATCATAAATAAGCGAAAAGCGATTTCAAGCTCAAGATATTCGAAAATTTTGCCCTTTTATAATTCAGTGATCAAATCTCTAAGCAACCTTTTAAGGGCGTACTATTTTTATTAGAAGATAATGGAAAAGAAGAGGAAATCGATCTTGATAGAGATGGTTGTGAGATAATTTTATTATAGCGTGCGTTTTATATTAATTCCACTTTCATTATTCTTGTGACATTTTCAACAATAAAGAAAAAAGCTATTTAATAACAAACCTGTTTATTTTCTTGATTGGCACTTACAACTAAGTTACATTAATGTCATTATATTAATGAGATTAATGACGATTTTGAGTGATTCTGCAAGTAATAACACTTAATTAAAGCGCAATTAGTTTTAAGAGTGTGAAAATTGCCACGTCGACGGGCTAAAAGACGCCCTAATGACTTCAATTAACTTGAATTGTAAAGTTTTGCTACTAAATACACTCCTAATTGACATTAATAAATTATTGACCCGTTTGTGTATTTGACTACATCTATGACATGCTAAATTCCGTTTCGGACCTGTATTTAGGTGAATTTATGCCTCATACAGCATACTAATTTAAAACGGTATCAATTACCTCCATGTTTCTGTGTTATTATGTTGGCAAAGCTGTTTTAAATAATTCATGAAGGGGCATCTCGCAGTTTTTCTTTTACATAGTGTCAGAAATTAGTAATGGGGTTAGAAGAAAACTTCGGATTAATAAAAGGGAAAGGATGAGAATCGAGGAAGATTTTAAGAAATTATCTTCAAGGAATGAACTTTGGCCATTAATAATAAATGAGATTGGGTAGTCACGACGCGAGCTTACCTCTTAACGACGTTTGTATAATTTCCTAATAATATTTATTATTCATAACCGACCCATTTTGTGTTTGTGATCTTGAAACCCTTTTAGCCTAGACCCACAAAAAAATCCCACTCGAAAAACACGAATTATTTACCCGTAAAAACCGAATTGCTGTTGTCAATTAATTTCCGCTTGATTTTACTTTATGATAACGCAAAACTCTTCCCTTTGTGTGTGCCATGGCGGAATTGAAAATTTCTGCCCACACTTTGTAAAAAATTCGTTGAACTCTGGCGGAGTTATGTAAATACGATACACGCCAACTCACGTTCGCCAACGCAAATTATTTTGATTACCCCCGACATTTTGTAATGAAGGTAATTTGGTCTTATCGATTAAATGTTAAAGCGTTTCTTAACAACAGAAAATTGATTGAATATTGGCTAATTATTTCTGCATAATAGATTAGTTTCAGGGTGAACTAATTAATGATTTTGAAACAAGTTTTTGTAATAGTGAACTAATAGAATACAAAATCTCAAGCAATCTTTGCAAAGTTTAAATGTTTCTAATTAAATCAAGAGTCGGTGTCAATTTAATAAAGTCATCCTAGAGTTCTAAAACTATCAAGTTTAACTTGCGCTACATTAAACTTAGAAGCACCTTGCAGTTGAAAAAAGAATCAGCATGGCGTTATAAAGGCTTTGTTTTACTTTTTATCTGTTAAATTATTTACTTCAATACAGAATAAAGCTACAACCGTTTTAAACACATTGTTTTGAATACATTATTCTAGTTTAATCAACTTTTTGTTCATCTACTGTTTCCGATCAAACTCGGAAATGGTTTATTTGTAGATAAGGGAGAGCTTGTTCTAAGCACGTAACGATAATGTAGAAACGCGAAAATTATTTTTTGCAAAAGGCTGAATATAAATTTTTCTCGAAAAATAAAATATTTCAAAGTTTGATATTTGAATATTTTGCATTTTTGCATATTATGTAAATTGAAAATGGTTAATGTTTTGAACTCTACTATGTAAAATGTCTCGGGGCATCAATTGGCGTCCGAAACTATTCGCATTTAGTTATAGTCGAGTTTATATTTTAAATATTCGTAATTTACCAGTAATTTACTCCATAAGTTACATATTTATCATAAAATAACAATCTTTTTATACCTGTGATAGAAATTAAAAATTGCTTTTTAATAGTACTAGAGCATAAGGAGCTAGTGTCAATAATTTCGTAGTTATTGGAAAAAATACACCAAAATTTTCTCAAAAATTTAAAAATTGATAACTTCAAAATTGACCGAAATGCACTTAAAGGGGTCTAAAATAGCATAAAACGTCATAGAATCACAAAAATTAAAAATTTTAAAAAAGTTTTGGTCCTATTAGGAGCCTGTTATAGCAATAAAACACAAATTTTTGAAATTTTGGGAGCCAAAAAGATCTCATTTTTTTTATTTGTTTAAATTGCGCCGAAACTGTACATCAAAAGTTATGTTTTAAATTTTGCTTATATAAAATATTTCGAAAGTCGTTTAGCGACAACAAAACTGCCAATTTCCAATAGTTTAAAAGTTATACTAGTAGTCAAGTATAGTCATTGTTGTTGCGTTTACTAGCGATTTTCTCAATAACTAATTGTTGCAGAACAATGATTCTTTTGTATAAGATAGAAAATTAAATTTTTTTTCCAACGCCATAGAGGTTATCGCTAATAATTCCGGAGTTATTGGCGATAGATTGTTCAGGTACCAAAAATCACCCAAAATTTTGTCAAAAATAAAAAAAAAACAAAAATGTTAAAATTGAACCAAATGGCCTTATGGTGGTCCAAAAGACTTGGAAAAGTGCAACAACGTTGTAGAAGATTTAGAAATGCGCATGAAACGTTATTGGGTCGAGTTAAAAAAAATACTAAGTCACAAAAATATTAAAAAATGTATCACAGCAATTTTACAACTCTGTAAGTGTTTTATTTCTCTCCACCTAAAGATAATTCTAATTTTTTTATAATTCTATTCTATATAGATGCAAACGTGTACGTACTACAAACAATTTATTTGTACAAACGCTTCAACGACTTTATTTTTGGGAAAAAGCTTTTCAAACTGAAAAATAAATTTTAAATTGGAAATTTATAACAGAATATTGATGTCAAGGGTCTATTCAAACGATAAAACTAGCGAGCTTTACAAACTCGCGCATTATAAACTTGCTTAGAAATAAATTGGATCGAAATATTGTCATTTAATCAAAAAAATAATGTAAAAACTTAATAAATACAGGCTGCGCCAGAACTCGGGCCCCAGAGAAAAATGCCATGTTAGGTAAAATACCAAGAAAATGGAAAAAAAGTTAAAAATCTTGCACTTTGACTCTATTTATTTCTGTTGGAAATATAATTTTCCAAGTTTTTTTCCTACAGGCTATTAGAAGAGAAAACAAAGAAGCTGTATTCTAAATTGAAACTCTGTTTAATGTTATTTGTGGCTTTTATTGGTGAAATTTTTGTACCTTAACTACAAATTATAAAAAAAAACATATGCAAGATCATCAATATCATAAAATATACATAAAATATGTCAAATGTCAAAAAAATATATGTCAAAATTTTTTGACAGATTTTTTCTATGTTCCTGGTCTCATATGTTAGTTGAAAGTTTTCTGCCACACTCTGTATAATTAAAAAAATTGTAATTCTTTAGGTAAATTTAGTCAACTTTACGGATGATTTCAATAGTTGATGACATATGAGTCCGGAAAAGTACTACTTTATGGACTATTTTGACTTCGGTTTTGACTTACTTTACGGACTATTTCGTTCACTTTACTGACGTTTTCAGAAAAATCAAAATTTGGTGAAAATCGAAAAAGAAATTTAATAAATCATCTCAACGAATACCTAAGAAATTTTTTTTTACTGGAGATTACTAGAAAGATTATGTAAAAATTTGAACAATATTACACAACATATGCACTGTTCATTATTCCATCAACTTTACGAACGATTTCTATAAATGATAAGTGCTGACATATGAATCCGGAAAAGTACTACTTACTTTATATCAATAATATAAATAAAAATTAAAGATTAAAAAAAGAATCATTTTTTGAGTTCCTTTTCGGACTATTTGGTTTACTTTACGGACGATTTCAGAAAAATCAAAATTAATTAAGTATTTTGTAATAATTGGAAAATTTATTAACTAAAAAAATTAAATAAAACATCTCAACGAATACAAAAAATATTGTTTTAAAAGAGATTATTAGAAAAAATATGCAAAAATTTAAACAATATGCGCACTTTTCACTATTCAGTCAACTTTACGGACGATTTAAATAAATGACATATAAGTCCGAAAAAGTACTACTTTATGGACTGTTTTAAGTTACTTTACGGACTATTTCGGAAAAATCGAAATTAATTAATGAATTTTTTATTATTATTTATTTATTATTATTTATAGTTTTTCTTATTAATAATAAAAAGTTAAAATGAGCACTTTGCTCTATCGTTTAATGTATGTAATTTTTATTTATTTTTGTACGAGGCGCTTACTAAACATTGAAAAATTTTTAATACCCCATTTTGTATTCTTGTGCAATTTACTTACTTCCGGCGTAACGAAATAGCTCGGACTCTTTTCGATCGTAATCTGTCCATGATAGGAATGCGGCATCTGCATCCTATACCACTCCAATCCTTTGTTGTAATTCTCATCTCGGTCGAAGAAATGCACTTCTCCGGAAGCCTTCTGCACCATCGGATGCAAATAAAGCATCTCCAGCAGCGCTCTCGTCCCGCATTTCCTCACCCCCATGATGATTGCCTGAGGAAGGCGTCGCGCCGCCGCCGGATACAGTCTTCTGGACAAGAGAAGGAGCGGCGGACGGGTGTGATCTCGCGTATTCGTTTGTAAACTGTTAAGGGCGCTGTCGTAGATCATGTGAAACGTCAAGAAAAGAGATATTAGCATGACGGTGAGGATGGCCAGTGCCATTTTTGGCCGGGAAACCCCCACGACGAGGACGCAGTCTGAAGGATCGCCCTCCACGGACCTCATTGCTGCGCGAGGCAACCATCTGCAACACGAGAATTAATCGTCGGGATAAATGTACAAATGAGTGGCGACAATTAGGACCAGGGTGCGATATTTTCGCACGCGATTTCGCACACGCCTTAATTAAGTACTTCATTTGGTGCGTGTCCAGATTAAATTTGGTTAAGCAGCGACGACTCGTGACTATTTCACTACGAATCTACATAAATGTAACCGAAACAACTAGGATTTTATTTGGAAAAATCATTTTTGTTGCGTTGGGACCAAAAAACAACACAGTTTGCTCTAAAAGAGGGAGGGTTTTAGCAAGTCAAAAATAATACAATAATTCCAAATTAACTCTAAATAATTCAAAAACTTTCCAACAAATGTACACCATATTTCACAGCGGTTTATCGTAAAACTTACGCAAATCTATGCGTTTTTAAAGATACCTGACTTTTTGCTTTTTTTTTAAAAAAATTACATATTTGTGTAACTATCAAATTTTTTTCTATAGGTAAATCCAAGTGTAGTAATATAGAATAAAGAGCATTTTGCGTTTTTAAGACTCAACTAAACAGTGAAAAAAACAATTTGGAATTTTTTTAAATTTAGCTCAATAATATTTTAATCTTATCTACTGTATGTCCCCGGATTGACTTTATAAAAGGAAAAAAAATAGGAAAAAAAAACTTTGATTTTACGCCAAAACTGCAAAGGAAAGTTTTTTTGCTTTACCTGAAACCAGCTAATCTGTAATTAAAACTTCATTATTCTCAGTACTCAGGAAAGTCCTTTTTTTTCTTGATTTTGGACTAATTTTTCTCTGCTTTGTAAGTACTATCACATTGGCGGTTTTATTATTTTGACAATGATGTCACTTTGACAAATGAGTTATATAACAAAAATGTTGTGAAAAACATAATTTTAATAAAAAATGTTTTCCTCTTGTAAACCCAATCCGGGGACATACTGTATAATTGTGCTTTTTTGATCACTATTTTTTTATCAACTTCTTATAAGAAAGATAATATTTTTAAGTCAAAATTTTTAAGTAATAATTTATTTGGCTTTCATTTTCTTTTAAAAAAAGATTGAACGAGAAGACGTTTTGCTAAATCATGCTTTGGAGGATTACAGTTTTTCTACTGAAAACAATTTTTTAAAGTTTTAGCAATTTATTTGTATTTACCTAAAAAAAAAACAATATATATTTGAAAATTACCAACATTAGAATTGAACATTATCCCGGCGCATCCACCAAAATTAAAAAATATATGACTTGAATTTTGTGTACAATGTGTACACATTTTGTTATTTGCAAAAAAATTATTTCTAAATAATTTGCAATAAAGTTATTAAAAAAATCACTTGAAAACAGGTTTTACTTTATTATTATTAATGGAAGCATCCTGTATCCATGTTCTAACCTAAACAAATAATTATTTCTTGAAAAAAAGATGATTTGAGACATTTACAAAACAGTTAAAACACAGTTTATTGAAGTTTTGTAGCATTATTGTATTGACATTATTTTTTATTGTAAATACTACGGAAAAATTTGTACGTTGTTTTATCAATTTGAGTTAAAGTTAAAGAAAACAGAATAAAGAATGTCATTGTTTTTATTAACAATTAAAAATTGCAATATGTTTTTTGTGGAAGATACATACTATTATCAATTTTTTTACCTCAATTGTAAAACGCCTGTTATATATTAGAAATAAAGTAGTTGTACTGAATCAAAACTTATAAAGAATGCATTTTTGACGTTTGTTCAACGTATATTTTAAAACAAAAGTTTGGTTGGAATTGACTATTTGGGCTTCTACTTTTAAAAATATGTCATATTTTCTTATTACGACTTATTTTGTAGTGTATAGTTAAAGTAATTAAAGATATTTCTGTGTAAAAAATACAGCATATTGTATTTTCAAGATCAGACAAAAACAACAATTAGTAGAAGTTTTAAATTTTTGCAAATTATATTATAATGCCACCTACTTTTCTCTCTTTTTTTTATTATTTCAATTTTCAACTACAATTATTTTGTAAATTAATTTACATAAATTTTATGATTTTTTAGTTTTGTTTTAGTCTGATTGTTGCTCTTACGAATTAAAAAAAATATTTGGAAATGATCTACTGTGAATGTTTTTATAAAAATAACATTTTTCAAATGTAACTTAATTGATCCTGAGTTCTAGTGTAATTCGTGTGTTTTAACATATTATTGCTGTTATTATCATATTCTTTTGTTTAACACACTTTTTCGGTGTTAAACCGCAGCTTATTTTTGTGAGATTTTTTATAATTAAGTTTTATTTGTTAATTACTATTTATTACTTATCTTATCACACTTGGCACTAGTAATCTAATTCAAACGTTGCTTTTTCACAATTTATCACAGTTTAACGTTTATCCTAATCGCAATTTATCTAATAATTTATTTATCATAAGCACAGATTTTACTTGTTTTTTGAATTTATTATTTATTATTAAAGGGTTTTTTTCAAAATAATGTTTTTATGGTCTGAAGAGCAAGGCTCAATATATCGTAAAAACTAATAGATCTTTATACCTAGATTTACTAAAACTGAAAAATCTATTTGAAAACACTGATTTATAAAAAAATATTTAATAAGTATTTGCTTTAATCTCAGTTTTTTGAAAAAATTGTGTTTACCATCTCGTTGAAAACTAGTTCAACAACTGAGTTAATTAAGTTCTTCATTAATGTCTAAACTCGAGAAAAAATATTTCCTAAAAAACAGTGGATTATGGTATTTTCCTGATATTGTCTTGAATTAAAACACAATTCAATTAAATCTTGGACTTAATTTAGAAAATGTTTTTTCAAAGGTATTTACAATATCTCATTTTCTTTCCTTAATTTGAAGCTGTACTACTTGTTTGTAGTGTTTTTTTATTTCTTTTTGTGAAATATTCCTGCAGCTATGTGTAGATATTAAATAAGGTAATTTCAATTTAATGTACTTGCTGATAAACCAAAGATAAAAATAGTGTAATTAAATTTTAACGAATCCTCGAAACACGCACCATCTACAACAGAAAATAACTTACAGGATATCGAAGTGCGGCGGCCGCACACATCTTCTAGAATCGGTTTTTGACGGGCTCATTTTCGTAGGTGCTCAATTTTATTCTTCATTTTTCACGCTTCTGAAATAAGAAACGTAATTAGTGGTTGATTAATTTTCACATTAAAAGCGTTACGTAACACGACTGTGCTGTAATATTTAAATAAGAAAAAGCTTTCATTTTTAATGGAAAAGTGGTCTTTTTATCATTGCTCCGCTCTTGCATTAATTAAACCGAAAATCCGATTTAAGATCGAAAAAGTTATTAAAGGAGTGGTGCATCACTGCAGTCTGTCAAAAATAGCACACTTTTCGTGATGGAACAAATTTTACATTATTTATAATGGGGTAGAGTTTAGTTCAATCAACTCAAAGCTCAAAGGAGGGGCTAATTTGGATGCACTTTTAAAATAGTTGCATCCAGGGCTTGAGAAAATTGTTCTTTAATGAAATTAGTCCAAACACAGCAAAAGAATTGTTATTTTTCTCGTTTTTTATACTTCAGAAAAGTGTTTTAATAGCAATCGATTTATTAACAAGGCATTTTGTGACACCCAAGGGTTGATCAGCAAACAAGTCTCCACGATTTAAAGCATTTTCTCCCCAATTTCCGCTAGATTTGAATTGGAGAACTTCAAAGGGTTTGGTCAACCTCGGTGGGAGAGGAGGAAATTATTCAACTGACTTGTTTCATCGTAAATTCACAACTTTAGAGCGTGGCTAGTTTAAACAAGTTTAAATAATTTGGTGGTAAAAAACAGTGCTTATTAATATTTATAACAGCAAAAACAGCTATTTTCTTGGCTAAAACGCCCGCATACGTGAAGCTCTGCGATAAATATCTGTCGACTTTACTTTAAATTTAATACCGTTGTGCTATGTAAAGTTTCAACAGGCGTGTGTTTACATTCGCAGCTACAAATCCAGAACAAATTTTATTCAAATATTTTGTGCGATTACACTTTAATAAAGTTGAGTTATTTCGGTTGTCGAATGTAATCTGGTATTTATTGGACTAAATTCGCTCCAAATACTAACAACTGCTTCCATTCTACGGCAGAGTGATCGTGAAAAGGAACTCCGAATAAAGCTCCCTCTTAATTGCCCCTGAAAGTGAGTTTTTTTCTTTTATTTGAGGAGTCACTCGACACTCGTAATTTTTAAGTTTTGCGTCAGAGGTCTTTAGTTTGTCACGGGTGTGATTCTTGAGAGGATAATTTGAATTTTTGAAAGTAACTGAACTGGTGCAATCTTGTTAAATCACACTTGTAACAAAACGAATTACTGATGTTCTTCTAAAACAGGTCAAAAAAGACTATAGTAATGTAAAATTTTTGATAGAAAACACTTTAAAATTTTCAAATAAAGGTCAAACAAAGACATTGTGTGGTGTTGAACAAATATGTTTAATTTTTATATGTATTGTCACAAATCTTAAAAAAACGATGTTTACATTATGAAATCTGAATTTCATTTTTTTATACAGAAAATTCCATACTCAACAAAAAATAATTATGTCATGCGAATTGTTTATTTAACTTATAATTAAACATTTGTGGTAAAAACTGAAAAGGTTTCAATTTATTACCCCGGCGCTTCCACCAAAATTTAATAATACTGTTTTTTTTAATTCAGCAAATGGTTTATAGAAAATTTTTAGTAATAACGAATTTATTTATTTAAATATAGAACATCATAGAATGTTATATCTAAAAAATAAAATTAGATAATTATGCATTTCCTAAAAACAGATTTATTAAACATTTTGTGAAACAAAAATTCTAAAATCTACAACTCTTTCATTTATTTCTAACTGAAGTTGCTAACAAACAAATTATACAATTACTAATAATTTATTTTACTTTTTAAAATGGCATATACTAATTTACATTACTAATTGCACCCATACATGTTTAAGTGTTAGCTCTCGATAAGAAAATGTTTAAAAAATA